CGAAGACTGGTTGGAATCCAGCTCGCATCCACGGAAAAGATCCCTTCTGCATCTTCTTCCATTTTCCTTTCTCGGGTTTAGGGTTTAGGATTTTGGTTGTTAGATGCGGGTGCAGCACTTTTTACAGGGGCAGAACGTTTTGTGGACTTGTCCACTTATGTTTTGCCGAAATGGAAAAATGTTTGCACCATTTGTGGCCGCCGACATTTTGCATGCACTTCTTGAGCTCAGCATTCTCTTCTTGCTACATGCTTGCATTTGTTTCTGCATGAGCTTCTTGTGGAACCGTTTGCATCGCAGTTGCAATATCGGTTCGAGCTGCCTTTCGCTCGAAATTTCCCGCCCTACCCGCCCTGGGTCAGCTCTCACCGATCGCGCGGTTCCTCGCGGCGTTCCTTTTGCTTGGGCTGCCNNTTCAAGCGCCGGATCATTTGATGCTCGCGCGTCTTTCGCTGCGTCTTCACATGCTGGCGTATCTTGCGCCCCTGCACCTGCATCTGGCTCATCCCTTTGGCGGCTCCTGCGTAGCCTTGCCATTGCTTCTGCACAAATACTCTTTGCCTTTCCTGCCGTAGCTTGCAGCTGGCTCTCCGAGCCCGTAGTTGGTACTGTGCGGTACCGTTAGTCCTGTAGCTTCGCAGACAGCTCTCCTGAGCTCGTAGCTGGCACCGTCGTCTGTACTCTGCCTAGGCCTAGGTTCGAGTGGTTCCTCTTTCGAGGCCCTACTCCTCTTGCTTTTCCGGGGTGGTGCACAAGTCGCCACCCCACTCGGTGACATGCTTCAGGAGATACCTGTTGCTGTTTATCGAAGACTGGTTGGAATCCAGCTCGCATCCACGGAAAAGATCCCTTCTGCATCTTCTTCCATTTTCCTTTCTCGGGTTTAGGGTTTAGGATTTTGGTTGTTAGATGCGGGTGCAGCACTTTTTACAGGGGCAGAACTGGCTGGTGCGCCTATTTTGACGACTTCCCGCTGCTGGCGGTCGAAGGCCATGAGGCTCAGGTGAACGGCTTCGCGGGAGAGGTCTTTGACGCTTTAGACGTGGAATACGCCAAGGAGGGGAAGAAGGCTACAGAGTTTGGGGAAACCTTCAACGCCCTGGGCCTTTCTTTTGACTTGACCCGTTTCCGTGATGGTGTGGTGACGCTGCGCCACACCGAAGCAAGGACTGCTGAGCTGTTGGAGACGCTCGATGGGATACTTCAGGAACGCAAGCTTCGTCCCAAGGATGCCGAGGTGCTTCGCGGCCGGATGCATTGGTATACGTCTTACCTCTTTGGCCGGGCTCCCTGCGAGGCGATGCACCAGATATCGATTCGTGCTCAGGGCCACGATGCTTGTGCTTCCTTGACGCCAGAACTGGAAGAGGCCTTGATGACCATGAAGTTTTTCTTGTCGGACCCCAAGCCACTTGAAATACGGCAAACTACGGGCCGGGAGATGTTCGTATTCACGGATGGCTCGTACGAGCCTGACGGGGACATCAAGGCTGGGATCGGGGGAGTGTTGTACGACGATACTGGCACGCCCTTGTCCTTCTTCAGCTCTGACATGGTGGGTTCAGACTTGTTGACCTTGGAGGATCAATCGGATCACCCGATTTACGAGGTGGAGCTTTACGCGGCTGTGGTCGCATTTGAGCTCTGGGGACACTTGATACAGGACAGCTTCACGGTCTTCTTCTTGGACAATGAGGCTGCACAGTCGGCGCTCATTGCTGGGAAATCCGGCACTTCCAACGGGCGAGTGCTGGTACAGAGGTTTCTTGATGCTGAGCACCGATGGAGGGCAAGACCATGGATCGGCAGGGTCCCGACATACTCGAACCCAGCTGATGATCCAAGCCGAAGTATCTGTGAGCCGCTCATCAAGCAAGGGGCGAGGAGGATGGACGTTAGCAGTGTTCGTTTGCTCTCTTGAGAATCTTTCCGACATGCGCACTTTGCTTGGGGTGTCGACGGGTGCACATGTGTACTCGTTGGGCCTGCCCTCGTGTCATACTTTGGAGGTGTGACCTTGTGGCGGGAGCCATAATCTTGCTGAAATGTTTTCTCTTCGAGAAACCCCACGGCATCGTGCGACATACAGAATAAAAGAGTGCGAGCGTGTTTGTACTTCTTTGAATACGGCAAATATTGATGGAGTCTCTTTTTCGTTAATAAAATATTCGACCAATGCAAATATCAATCGACTTTGTTTTGCACGTTTGTGGAACAGGAAATAAATCGATACATTCGGTTTTACCGCTGCCTTTTCTGGCTCAATCAGAAGCAAGACGGAGTAAATTAAGCTAGCGGTCAACGGGTTGATAGCGCTTTAATTTACGTTGTCTTTGGTAAAACTGGGT